TTTGCAGCCCTGCACGCCGAGTGCCGGTGGAAGCCGGGTCCTGGCTGGCTACAGGAGTCCTAGCTGCACACGAGAGTCGCGGGAGTGGGCCGGGGCCGGGTTCTACAATGTGAACGTGAAGGCTTTGGAGTCCATGGTTGGGGGACCCACAGAGCTGGAGCAGGGGCGGGGCTGCCTCTCGAGGGTCAGAGAGGCTGATGGCTGGGCCGAGGTGAGGGAGCTGGGAAAGCTGAGATTTGCCTAGGAGTGCGTGGTGAGGGGCTTACGACCCGGAAGATGGGGTTTTGGGTTCCATATCGGGAACAGCAGCTCCTTTTCCCACCACAAGGCTCCCGTTCCCTCTTAAGAGTCCCTGGTTTCCTTTCCCGCACTCCTCCTGGGTCCCGCTGCGTTTTTGGTCACCTCAGAATGACCATGGGTTGATTTCCTTACTGGATTCGGCCAGGTGAGATGTTTCCCACCGCCCTGGGCCGGGGCACGCGCCCTCTTGTGCTCATTCCTTTCCTTCGGTGGAGAGTTGGGTGGTGGGGACTGGCTGGCCTGTGAGAGCAGGTGTCGGGGTGCCTGGAGAATCGGGGCCCAGGTACCGGGGCGGCGGGGCTGTGGGGAAAGGAGCTTTGGGGAGGAGCTGCTGACGCTTCCTGCTGGCACTGCTTGCTTGGGAGCTGGGTGGAGGCAGGGCAGGGCAGTTCCAGGTTCTGCCAGGAAAGTCACCTTGGGCTGGGGCAGGAGGCTTGGAGCCTCTGGCCGTTACTGTTTGTCGGAGCAGGAGGGTGAGCCCTATGGACTGGTACCATGGCCCCAGGTCTGGGCAAAGAATGGAAATAAGGACAGTGCCACTAGGGCCTCCTGTCTGTGCAGGAAGGGCCCTGAGACAGCTCTTCAAGCCCCTTTCCCATTATACGGATGGTGCAGATGGGGACACTGAGGTACAGAGAGACAGTTAGTTGTCCTCAGAACTGGATCCAGAACCTGGTCTCCTGACATGGCCCCCAGTGCAGCACCACATGTGGCTTCTGAATTCCCAGTCTGGGATTGAGGAAGCTCTGGTCCTTGGGGGACCACCATGCTCTTTTGGGATTATCAACTTGGTAGGGACCCTCTGGTTCCAAGGCTGTGCCTTTGTGGCCCTCTGCTGGCATCTACTGTCCCTTTAGTGGGTCCTACCACCCTTTTCTCCTGAGCCTGGACAACTTCTTCCCTTGACCTCAGGAGCCCACAGCCAGCTGAAGCAGCTAGAACCAACCAGCAGGGGAGGTGCGCTCCAGGGGGGCTTCTTGGAGGAGGCAGTATTGGAGTCAGACTTGAAGTGTGGGGCGTGGAGTTGGGTGATAGGGATGTTTCTCCAGCAGAGACACTGGGCAAGCCTCTTCTTCAGCACCCAAAAAGGGGCTGCAGGGTGGTCTCCCTGTAAGAGGGCGGGGCTCTGCCCTCTGTCAGGCCCTTCCTGGCCCTCTGAGCACAGGAGAGGCCCTGGCTCCATCTGCATCTTGCTGCCCTGACTTCCTCCCACCTCTAGGTGCTAGTCTGGGGCAGAAGTAGGGTGAAGGGGCGGGTCCAGCCTCCTTGATGACTCAGTTGGGGTTGAAGGTGGGAGCTACCCCTATTCTGGGCCTGTTGCTGTCTCTGAAGTCAGGGGTCAGCCTCACACTGAACTCTCTGCCAAAAGTCCGGACCATAAGCATGAGCTCCAGCAAGTCCACTTGAGTGAACCCCGCTGATCCTGCCTGCAGGGGTACAGGCCTGCGGCCTGCCAGCCGTCCCCACTGTCCGTGGGGTGTTTTGGGTTGCAGATTCCATGTCCTGAAGCAGGAGGGCCCTCCCCATGCCACCTCCTCTGCCCAGCCTCTTAGGGACAGTGCCTGGGATGCCCTGGCAGGAGTAGGGGCTGGGGCGTGCTTCCAGACCATAGCTGGCCTGGGCATAAAGGCATCTGCTGTGGCGCTGCAACGAAAGCCAGGCTGTGCTCTGTGCTTGTGTCAGGGCACCCTTGGCAGTGGCCACCCCACAGGTGTCTTTTTATTCCCTCCTGCTGCTGAGTGTCACGCGTGGGGCTGAGGGCCTGCACGCCTTCCCTGCCTCATCCTCTCCGAGGTTTCACGCCCTACTAAGGCTGGCAGGACAGGAGCCATGCTCCCCTGGGGTGGCTCTGGAACGTGGGCCCCGTGCATAGGCTATGTGATCTGCCCACGCCCTTGCTGCCTGCCACCCGGGCACCCAGGACTTGAGCCCAGACCCTGGCCACCCAGTTATCTGTGGGAGTATTAGGGGAAGATGCCACTAAACTGGCAGGTCCTGGAGTTCCACCCAGGATGGGGACATGGAGGAGGGAAGAGGAGGTGCCCCTCAGAGCCTGAGGCCAGGGCCAAGTGGGGTGATCAGGACCCCTCCAGGAGGGTCCCGGGTGCGGATGGCCAGTTGGGCGCACGCTCATTGGGCCTGCATCCGTTGGCCATGGAGGCTCTTTGGGACAAGCAAATAGAATGCTCCAGAAATAAACTTGGCCCAAGTTTGTGATGGTTCTGGGTATGAAAGAAAGCAGTGTTTCCCAAGTGCCTGCTGTGTGTGAGGCTCTGTGCTGGGGCGGGTGCATGTGTGTGTTGGGGGTGTGGACAGGAGGGTTGGGAAAGGCCCGTGACATTTCCTCTCGTGGTTTCCACGAACCCAGGCATCACCCCTGGGTGGAGATAAAGTGGAGCCACCCGGCTCTACTGTGTCTCAGCCTGGGGTTGGCCTCTGCTGCTTCTGGACTCAGTGACCCTGGACTGTCAGGGAGCTTCTGAGCCTTGGTTTTCCTGTCTAGTAAGATGCAGGTATTTCTGTCTTATGGGGTTGTTTTGAGGGTTAAATGAGCTGATGGCTGTGAGGGAAAGAGCTCTGCCTCCGGCAGGGAGGAACTGTGCTGTTCTTACTGTTTTGAACCTAGTGACAACTGTGGTGGTGTTACCCGTTTCCTTGTCTGCTCCCAACCCCGGGGTCTTGGGCAGAGACCAGGAGTTCTTGCCATTTTCTCCCAGCTCCCACCTTGTGCTGGCTTGTGGGTGCTGTGCTGAAGTCACATTTGCTGGGTGAAAGGGTGCAGGCCAGATGTGAGCCAGGCCTGGCAGAGAGGGTTTTGGTCAGCGGTGATACCTGCAGTGTTCTCTGCATTTGGCTCGGGCTGGCCCTGCTCCTGAGAACTCCTCGGTTGTCCCTTCAGGCAACCAGGGAAGGCTCCTTGGAGCAGCAGCATCTCCCCTTACCACTCCCCGACACCAGCTTCCCCCCAACCCAGAGTCAGAGTTTGGGGACAGCCACAGCATGTCCAGGGCTCCCAAGGCAGCTGGCAGAGCCAATGAGGAGAACCCAACACCCATCCGACGGCTGCAGCTCTCCCTGACGTGTGCCACCCGCAGCCCTGGTCCCAGCCGCTCTGCTTCTCAGGGCCTGCCTGCCCAGCCCGGGTGGATCTGGTGCCCAGGCAGGCCCCAGGGACACAATGAGGGCCATTCTCAGAGCCAGGCAGAGCCTGTGGGGCAGTCCTGTCAGCTCCCATGTGCAACAGCTGGGATATTGTTTGGGGAGTGCTGGCATCAGGTTGGGGATCTCCTCCTCTGGCCCTGCCCTCTGGGATGAGCGAGCCCTCGAGGGCCTTCCTGGGTTCCTCTGGTGCACATACCCTGGAGCTACCCTTCTGAAGGAGGTAGATTTGTCCTCCTGTCCCAGGTGCCTGGGGTCCAGGGGTGTGAATTGGGCTATGTCAAGACATGCTAGGTGGTACTGTGAGGTGGGGGCCGAGGGAAGGGGGTGTCCCAGGAGGAGCCTTCTGGACGGGATGATAGTCCACCTGGTCCTGAAGTGGCAGTGGGGTGCGGCAGGAGTGAGGTACCAGAGACTCAGCAGCCTCCACTGTGCCTTGGACACAGGTGACTGACAGTGTCTACCTGGACTGGCTTTGCACCCCATCTGAGGTCACAGTTGTATCCCTTGAGAAGTTGGGCAGGAGCACCTGACTGGCCCAGCTTGGGTCATGCCCTAGGCCCAGCAGTGCAGGAGGCCAGGAAAGTAGGCTTAGGGAGGCTGGCCTCTCCTCCAGTTTGGAGCATGGCAGGGGTTCCGGGGGAGGCTGCTGGGGGGCCTGCGAGCATGTCCAGAGCAGGAATGCTTGAGGTGGTGTGCGCTTTGCTCGTCTGGGCTTATCTGGCCATGGGAAGCTGGTTGTGTGGATGACGTTCACTGAGCTGTGCACGCATCACCCATGGAGTCTGTGGCGTGAGTCCTTCTGCCGCTCCAGGGTCACAGCCTGCCTCCCTGCTCCAGCCCCCTGGCTGAGGCCCTTCCTCTGCCCCATGCTCTTCCCAGACGGGAATCCTGTGGAATATCATCTCTTTGGGGAGGCCATCTCTGACCCTGTATGCAAAGGCCTTCTCCCACATTATTTTTGGCCCCCCACTTTCTTCCCCATGAGAGCAAATTGTTTGCTGTCTTTCTGTCCCACTACAGTATAGGCCCTGTTCAGACAGAGGCCTCGTCCACTAAGGCCTGCGCTATCTCTGCGGAGCCCGGCTGAAGCAAGGGCCAGGCGAATCTTTTGTTAAAAGAACAGTGTGCGCTGGGCACAGTGGCTCACGCCTGTAATCCCAGCACTCTGGGAGTCCGAAGCTGGAGGATCACTTGAGCCCAAGAGTTTGAGAACAGCCTGGGCAACATAAGGAGACCCTCATCTCTATACAAAATTAGCTGAGCATGGTGGTGCGTGCCTGTTGTCCTAGCTACCTGGGAGGCTGAGGTGGGAGGAGGCTGAGGTGGGAGGATCGCTTGAGCCTGGGAGGTGGATGCTGTGAGAGCCATGATCGTGCTACTGGGCAATAGAGCAGGACCCTGTCTCAAAAAAAAAAAAAAAAAGAAACCAGGGCTGTCATCCAGCAGAGAGGATCTAAGTGCTCAGAGGGGCTAAGGGATTTGCCCAAATTCCCCAGCGGGGCCCAGGTCTGAGTCTTAGCTGCTGCCTAGTGAGGAGGAAGGAGTGTGTGTCCTTGGGGAACAGACGGGGAGGCAGAGAGGCCCAAAGAGGCGGGGCCCTGGCCAGCTGGAGTGGTCGGTTGTGTACCAGCAGCAGCGGCGTCCAGAGCTCAGGCTGGGCGGGGGCACGCCAGCTGACGCAGGCAGGGGAGCTCCTGGTGCCAGGCGCCCGGTGCCACGTGCCCAGCCTGTGAGGTGCTTCCCAGCCTGGCTTCAGTGGCCCCAGACTGGGCTGTGGCCAATCAATGAGCTCATTCCAGGAGGGGTTGGACCTTGAGGCCAGAGGCCACAGCCGCTCACCTGGGCCGGACTTTCCCTCCCTGCCGGGCCCTTCCCTCTGCAGAGCCCCCGGCCTCCCTGCCTGTGCTCCCTCAGTCTCCCTGAGTGCCTGGCCCTGCCTGGCGGGGCCTCTGCCAGCCTTTCCTGGGCCGCCCTTCTAGGAGGTGAGGGGCCTTCGCAGGGCGGTCCCCTCTGTCTAAACCCCCACCTTCTCTGACTTGGCTGGAGGGGAATTTTCCTGTGACTCACTCTGCTGGCACTTCCTGTGGTCACCAGGGCAGGGGCTGGGGGACCTGGAGGGGCAGCTCTGTGGTGTGTAGGGTCACTGGGGGAGGGTGGCCCGCCCCCTGATGGGCTGTGATTCCCAGAGGCAGGCTGCAGACCATATTTGGGAAATGCTTATCTTGCTGGCTGCCTGGGATGGGGGCCCTGAGCACGGGTGGGCTGCAGGAGAGCCCCCGCCCTCCCGCTCCTCTGTGGGGCTCTGGCCCCTGGACCTGCCGCAGTGCCTGTCCCATTCTGCCTCAGAGCCTGGGACACAGTCCACTGTTTTTTTTATTTTTTCTTTTTGTGTATTTTTTCAGCCCCAAAGCAAGAAACACTCATTCCTGAAAAACAGGAAGAGAAAGTGTCTCCAATGTCTCAGACACCTCTGGAGTCGTCCTGACCCTCTCCTGTCTTTACGTTTCACAGGATGTTTTCTTGAGGCAGGCTTTTCACTTGAGTTCCTTTTTCATTCTGTTGTAATTGTGGTGTGAACAGTGTTGCAGCCATCTAGGGCCTCTGCCCTTGCGCTCACCTTGGCTCTGATGTGACTCCACCTGGGCCTGCCTTCTCTGAGCTGCCCCCTTGGGCCTTGCTCCTCCTGGCTCCCCACACTCTAGCCTGTGGCCCTTTTAGGGACTGGAGGCTCCTAGCTGCTCTGGAGAAATAGGCTCCCAGCTGATGACGCCCACCCAGGGCAAATGAGCTGTGGGGTCTCAATGTCTGCTCCTGGGACCTGGGGCACCTACTGCCTACTCAGGCTGCTTGCCTGGTGTACCATTGCCCTCTGATGCCGCCCAGGGAGACGGAGCTCAGAGGGGTTCTGTCCAGTCCCTGCTGGTGTAGGGGAGGCTGGGCCCTAGGGACTTGGAAGAGGTGTCACCGCCACTCTGCCCCAAGGCCCAGGCTCTGGCTTCCTGTTTCTGCCCAAGGAGGCGTGGCCCTTTCTTCCTTGTTTCACTCCTTGCAAATGGAGTCCAGAAAATGGGACTTGGGCCCAAGTGGGGATGGTCACACAGCTACTGGCTGGCCAGAACCCAGGTCCCATTTCTGAGTCAGTCTCGACCAGGCTGCATGTCTAAGACCCCAGGAGACTCCAAGGAGGGACCTTGCAGGGTAGCCCAGACCTGAGGCTGGTGGGGTGGCTGGAGCCAGTCGGGTCACCACCCAGCCGGCCTGGCACTTTTCTCAGACCCGGCTTCCCTGTGTGTGAAGTCTGGGGCCCCTGTGGAACCCATGCAGCCCTCGGCCGCCCTAGGAGGGGCTGCAGCCCTGGCCTTGTCTCACCCCGTGCCTCCCTCACACCTGCCTTCTGCTGGAACCGACCACACCCTCCAGCCAGGGACCCTCTGTCTCTCTGGGCGCATCCTGCGCCTGGCACCTCAATGGGGCAGCAGCAGCAGGGGCAAGGACGCAGGGGTGTGGCGGGAAACTGCGAGGCTTCCCTGCCTGGGCTCTTGTGTCCCAGCGAGGCTCTGCACCTGCCCTCACCATCGCCCTCATGCCTCTGATCCCACAGCCTCCTCCAAGTCCCTCTCCGACTGCTTGGCTCCTGGGCCACATGGAGGACGTGCCCTGCCCTGGGAGGGTTTACTGAGGGCAGCGGGGCCAGGCCCGGGAGGGCGTGCCTCCTGTTTGCTTCCCAGCCTTGGGGAAGGTGTTTGAAGTTTCTAAACTAATTACTGACTTTTTGGATTTTGGGTAGATGGACTTTGTTAAGGAAGCTTCCTTTCATTTTTGTTCAGTTTTTTATCCTAAGAAGCTGTCCTTTTTGTCAGATTATTTTCGTGCATCTCAAGAGAGAACCATTTGCTATTTGTTTTAACTTGGCCGCGTTGTCGTTGTTACTGCCGCTCTCCCTGTGTTGGTCCAGGTAGCAGAGTGGCCTTGGGTGGGGCTTTTAAGGGTATCTTGAGGGTCATCCCTGGAGTTCTGGTGGTGGCAGTGGTCAAGAGGATTTTGAGGTGCTCTACAGGTGCAGTGGAAAGAAAGGCCAGGCTCAGCTGGGCCTTTCTGCTGGGGAACAGATGGAGACATTGGAGGCAAAGGCACAATGATCTCACCAAACTCCACTAAGTTATTTTCCCAGTGTCAAAGCTGAGCACCTCCCCAGATGGGGCAGGAGCTGGGGATCCCCTGACGCCCCATGAACATCCTCCTGGTCTCACACCTGTGTCCTCTCTCCCCAGAACGTGCTGGCCAAAGCCCTCTATGACAACGTGGCCGAGTCCCCAGATGAGCTGTCCTTCCGAAAGGGTGACATCATGACGGTGCTGGAGCAGGACACGCAGGGCCTGGACGGCTGGTGGCTCTGCTCGCTGCACGGGCGCCAGGGCATTGTTCCTGGGAACCGCCTCAAGATCTTGGTGGGCATGTATGATAAGAAGCCAGCAGGGCCTGGCCCCGGCCCCCCCACCATCCCGGCCCAGCCTCAGCCTGGCCTCCATGCCCCGGCGCCTCCGGCCTCCCAGTACACGCCCATGCTCCCCACCACCTACCAGCCCCAGCCTGACAGTGTCTACCTGGTGCCCACTCCCAGCAAGGCTCAGCAAGGCCTCTACCAAGCCCCGGGTCCCAGCCCTCAGTTCCAGTCGCCCCCAGCCAAGCAGACATCCACCTTCTCGAAGCAGACGCCCCATCACCAGTTTCCCAGCCCCTCCGCAGACCTGTATCAAGTGCCCCCAGGGCCTGGAGGCCCCGCCCAGGACATTTACCAGGTGCCGCCTTCTGCCGGGATGGGGCATGACATCTACCAGGTCCCCCCGTCCATGGACACACGCAGCTGGGAGGGCACAAAGCCCCCGGCAAAGGTAAGGCTGTCCTGGCACAGTCGTGCAGCCCCACAGGTATAGACCCAGGCCCTGGTTTCTGGGCACAGAAGGGCCCAGCCACCCTCAGTCACTGGCCGTCCAGGAGTGGCTGTGTGTTTGGTCTGGGGTCAAAATGGGAAGTGAGTGTTTGGGGAGTGTTCGTTTGTCTGGGGAAGATGGATGTGAATGGACCCAGAGGGGAGACGCCCCGCTGGCCTCAGCCAAGCCAATCTGAGTAGCGGTGTCACCACAGGGATCAGAATGTTGAGGCATTCCAGCGGGCAGGCGGGGCTTGGCACATGGGCCCCCGCGAGGGAGAGGTCAGCCACTTTATGCTCATGCTGTGCCCTCTGGGTTTACGTGTCAGCGTCTAGATGGGGTTCCAGCACATCTTCTGACCGCCCCTGTCTCCACGGGCCAACCCCTCTCCTCTTGTGGGGGATGCTAGGGTCCAGTGGGTGCTTACGGTGATCTGGATGTGACTCCTGGGAGGACACTGCCCCTGGAATTGCTAGAGGAGGGCTACTCTGAGAGCCTCCTGAGCTCTTGCCAATGGGATGCTGGGCCTGGGAACAATATCTCTGGCCTCCAGACCCTGAGCCCACTCCCCAAGTCCACAGGCCCCCTGCCTCTCAAGCCCACCTGCCTGTAGGAAGGAGTCAGAACTGGAGAGGGCGGCGAGGTCCACTGACTGCAGCAGGAGCAACCTTTTCTCACCTTTGATTGGTCCGTTCCCCTTGTGCCAAAGCCCCCTTGAGAGCTGGGGTGTGGAGTTTCCAGGCCTAGACATGGAGAGGGTGTCTCAGGGTCTCTCATCTTCTCCTGCCTGCTTCTTAGGGCTCACCAGGAGGACCTGAGAAACCCAGCCCATGCTGCTGTCTCAGCACTCCTGGGGGACATAGCCGCCCAGGCTGTTTGGGGTCAGCTTCCCAGGACCCAGGCCAAGCCTTGTTTTTGCTGTGTCCCGTCTAGAGCCACCTGTGTCTGGAGAGACACTGGCCAAGTGGACACTCAGCCTAGGGCTAAGGTGGAGAACTCATTGGTGCCAGCTGGGCAGCACGTCAGCAGGGAGTTACCCCCACCCCTGCCCATGGGTGGCCTGGTACCCAGGAGGTGTGGCTGGAGGACTTTGGCAGGTGGGACTCCATGGACATGGGCCACCAAACCTGGCCGCCAGGGGAACCTGGGTCACTGGCTCCCACTTCCTGCTCTACCTGCTCCTTCAGCCATCTGGTCAGACGTGAGCCTGGCTGGTGTGAGGCTGCCTGGGTGGGGCTGCTCCCACACTGGCTTTAGCAAGAGGAGCAGGGTCCTGTTATCCCCCGGGGAGGCAGCAGGGAGCAGCGTCCTGTGGGGGAGCCTTAGACCATGGTCCATGTATACCCACACTCCACACAAATGAACACACATGCATGATACCTGTACCCCACAGGTACAGACACCCGTGCACACACCATATGCACGAGCACACACATGCGCTACATGAATGTGCATGAACATATGCACATATCTGCATCCCATACCCCACAAATGGACACACGAATATGCCCACACATGCGCACATCATATCCATGAACATGTGCACACCCAAACCCCATATGTATAAACACATGCATACACACCCCACACAGACACGTGTACGTCCACACATACAAAGCGTATGCACCCACCAGTATCCCACAAACATGTACAAATGCATGTGCGTATGCACACACACACACAGTCCACACTCCACATGCCCCAAGCTCAGGCACACCCCCTCTCCTCCTCTCCCGCCTTTGCAGTGAAGCTTGTCCTGGTGCGGCTGGAAGCCCTGTGGGCTGGGGAGCAGCAGCGAGACCCCCAGACAGAACCTGGCCTCAAGCCTTTGTTATGGCAGCTGTTCTGTTTCCCTCTCCGGCAAGGGGCCTGCTCTCAGTTACATCAGGGGCTCCACCAGCTGGGTCCTTGTCCGCCCATGGCCTCTGGTGGAGCTGCCCAGGCCTGTGCCACAAGGGCCCTGACCTGGCTGATGGCCCAGGAAGGAGAGCCCTACGTCCTGGGCCCGGCTGCTCTCCCCTAGGAAAGCCCCGCCAGTCCTTATTGTGTCTGCTTGTATTTTATGGTCACAAAAGCAATGCTTGTTTGCTGTAGAAAATGCATAATGTATGGAAAAGTCTGGAGATGAAATTTTCCAATCGGGGTAATCACTGGGAAATTCTGGCATATTTTGTCTAGCATCTGCCCTGTATTTCACAGATTTGTACATGTAGTTTTGCGTTTCAAAGTTGTAAATCCAACATTAGATATCAAAAGAATTTTGTTGCATTCTTAAAGCTTCTCCCTGAGCCGCCTTGGATGTCACTGGGTTGCCCCCTCTGCTGGGACGGGCCCTGGGCAGTTTCCATTTGCTCGTGTCTTCAGTACAGTGGCATGGCGGTAACACCTGGCTGCGGGCCATCTGTGTCCGAACCTCCATGTCCTCCCCTTTAAGCCTCAGGCCTGCCCCTCAAATGCCTGGGAAACTGAGTCTCCCAGTTCCAGGGTAGTGGTTGGCTGGGCTGACAAGGAGCCCTTGCCAGGACGGCATGTGGGCAGGATGGACACTGGCTCTCAGGAAGCCAAGAGGGTGAGTAACAAGGGTGGTGGACAGGAGGGTCAGACCCCTGGGGCCTGGAGGAGGGTCCAGCGGGTGCTGAGATGGGAGCCTGGTGGCCCGTATGGCTGGGGGAGAAGTGAGGGCCACACCGGCATCGAGACTCTTTGGGCCGGGTGTGGTCTGTAGGAATCTGAGGGCATAGGCTCTTTCATGGGCAGGTGGGACTTCCTGGGGAAGGCATCTGTGGGAGGTCACTCAGGTCGTGACCCTGGTCAGTGCCCAAGGAGACAGCCATGGTCTGGGGTCAGGTGTGTACGCGGTCCTGTTGGGCCTGAGTTTCACCCTCCTCGCCCTAGAAGCTTCATCTTGCCCCAGGCCCCCATGTGCTGGGACCTCAGGCCAGGGGGCCTGGAGCTGGGGAGGGAGGGGAGCGGGCTGTGGTGCTGGCCCCTCAGGCCACCATGACCCAGGTCGGGTGAGCCCCTCGCACTTGGGTGTGTCCTGGTGGCCGTGGTCACAGCGCTCCTGTGGTGCTCCATTTCCCGAGGAGGAAACGAGGCTCCTGAATGGGGACCTGGGGATGCCAGAGCCAGGAGTCAGCCCAGGTCAGGGGTGACACCCATTTTGCAGAAGGGGGAGACCAGCCACTGAGCTCCAGGGTGGGGGCCTACCTTGTCCCCTTCTTCCAACCTGATGCCTGCCTGTTGGACCCTGACTGGGAGTCTGGGATGTATTCCTGAGTTCACTCATCCCCTTGCTTGATGCCTGATCCTGGGGGAGGAGAGGGGCAGCACCCTGGCCCTGGTGCTGCCTGGGTTCTGTGCGTGCACCTGGCAGTTGGCCTGTGTTGTGTTTTCCCTGCTTGTATGAGGCGTGTGTGTCAGAGACCGTGTGGGTGTTATGTCAGTGTCTGTGACTCTGTCCCCTCCTCCTGGGCTCTGGCTGTGTTCCCCTAACCCCCAGGGGACCTCCAGGGCGTGCTGGTGGGGTCTCAGGTGTGTAGCAGGGTGGCCTGTGATTAGCAGCGTCATTCCCCTAATGAGCGTTTTCCGCTGGTGGCTGCCTTGCTCTGTTTTTCTAACAGAAACATTTGGTCACTGTGGCTGCCTACTGCCACCCGACTCAGCTCCAAGAGTGGCAGGCAGCCGTTTGCCTGGGGAGGCTGGCCTGGGTCCAGCTGCGCCCCTAGGCCTCACCACATGAGGTTGGGACGGCCACCAGCGGGGTGCTCTTGGAGGATGCTCACGCCTCCCTCCTGCTGGTGCTGGGTCCTGGCTGAGCCTTGGGGCTGGGTCCCCACCTGCCTTTGGGAGGCTGGGAGGCCTGGAGAAGCCTCAGGCCGTGCCTCAAGGCCCAGCCAACCTGCCACGTCCCTCCGCCCCGCCTGCACCACTGTTGGCAGGTCCCTGCGTCTAAAAATAGTTCTGGAGGAGACTCAAGTCTGGAGCGCGTGGAGGGAGATGAGTCTGGAGAGGCAGCCGCCAAATCCACTCCCAGACGAACTGGAGGGGGGTGGGGACACCCCGCGGAGGCCCCCAGCCTGTGGGGCTCTGCTACCAGGCGCGCTGGAGACCCAGTGGGCCCAGCTCTGCTGCGCTGCGGGGGGCTCTGCCAGGCCTGGGGCTGCTGGGGGGTGCTGGGCACCTCTGCCACCCCCATGCCCTGCACCCCCTCACAGCACCCTCAGTGAGCAGGGCTGGCTGCCTGCCTGCATTGGGAGGGCCTCTCGGGGTTCAGGGGCACTGGCCCGAGGGAGAGGCTGCTTTGGCGCTGCTGCCCTGGGGGATGTGCAGGGAGGCCCTGAGTCAACCCTGTCCCAGACATCCCCTTTGATGAGGGAACAAAAGGTCTTTCAGTGGAGACAGCTGAACAGGGAGCCTGGTGGTGGAGGCGTGTGGGCGCAGTGTGCCAGGGGCTGGAGAATCCCACCAGGGAGGCCTTGTCCTCCCCAAGGCAGGGAGGCTTTTGGGGAATGAGGCTGCCTGGCATGGCCCCTACCCCCTTCGGGCCATTACTAGTGAGGGGCAGCGTGGTCCTGGGCAGGTGCTTGTGCTGCCTGGCCTTGGCCGCCCCGGGCTCTGGACCAGGGTAAGAGAGCCTGGGGAGGGGAGGGCTGGCCCTGGACCTGCCTCCCCCACTAAGCCTCATCCTTTCAGGTCGCTGGGGATCTAACCTGCTGCAGGCAGCTCCCCCGGGGCAGGCGCGGCAAGGCAGGGCAGCCTTGGTTCCAGCTGCTGTGGCCCCCAGCACATGCTCAACTTGCCCCTCTGCTCCTGTCCTCCAGAGTCTCCCCATGCTGTGCTGTGGGGCAGGGGGTGCTAGGCTCTGTCTGGTCCTGGGCTGGACGCAGTCCCCTGCTGGGCCGATCCTTCTGAGGAGGCTACAGCTCGGTGGTGTGGGCAGCAGGCTCCGAGGCCTCCGACATGACCTCTCGTCCCGCGGGGCTGGGCGCCCCAGTCACGGGGGGTTCCTTGCCTGTGGGTAGTGCCCTCCAGAGCCAGGGCCCCAGCCCCTCACCCCACCGGTGTCGCCCACCGTCATCAGCTCACACCCATACTCATCTGTGGAGCCTTCCGGGTCAGCAGGCTATAGAGATGGTGGTGTCCTGGCCCAGGACCAGGCAGCTCTGAATAAAACCCGGGGTTCTTGCTGTACCCAGCACTACGTTCCGCTGGAGGAAGGTCAGAGGGTGCAGAGTGGGTGAGAACTGGCGTCCTTGGGGAGCCCCGTCCCTTCCACCTGGTGTGCCCTGCCCACCTCCCAAAAGGACGTGGCTCCCAGGTGTGAGTGGAGCCTCCCTGAGGGCCGCTTCGAGGGCAGCAGTGAAGTCAGCTCTCTGCCCCCAGGTGGTGGTGCCCACCCGTGTGGGGCAGGGCTACGTGTATGAGGCCGCCCAGCCGGAGCAGGACGAGTACGACATCCCGCGACACCTGCTGGCCCCGGGGTCACAGGACATCTATGATGTGCCCCCGGTTCGGGGGCTGCTTCCCAGCCAGTATGGCCAGGAGGTAGGTGTGGGGTGCGCAGCAGCGGGAGGGCAGGGCGGCGAGTCTGTGCCTCTGCTTGACCCTGGGCAGGGAGCTGCATCTTCTCAGCCCTGGCCAGGCCTGGGAGCAGTGCCGTGGGGTTTCTGCCTTTCCCACTCCCCCTGGCGCCATTAACCCTCCACTGTTTCTGCCCCCAGGTGTATGACACGCCCCCCATGGCTGTCAAGGGTCCCAATGGCCGAGACCCGTTGCTGGAGGTGTATGATGTGCCCCCCAGCGTGGAGAAGGGCCTGCCACTGTCCAGCCACCACGCGGTGAGCACATGCCAGGGCCAGGCTGAGACTGTGGGGTGTCTGCGTGTGTGCACTGGGGTGCTGACCAGTGTCTTCAGGGCTCGGGGTGGTGGGCAGGCAGAGACTGGCTCCAGACCCGGGTTCTGCTCCTCACTGGATCATTGATAGAAGAGGAAACCGAGCTCTCTTCTGAGCCTCAGCTGCTTCATCTGCAGAACCGCCTGTGGGAAGGCCTTCCCCATGAGCTCCTGAGAAGGTATCTGCAAGGTGACCACAGGGTATGTCTTGTCACCTGAGATACTTCCAAGAGTGAAGGGGGGACTAGTAATTATGTGGGAGCATCAGGGACAAACCAGGACTGTCCGGAGCAAACCAGAATTTGATCCCCTGATAATACCCGCAGAGCTCAGTCACACACGTGCTGCAGAGTGGAAAGTTCACACGTGGTGGTGGTACTGGGTGGTACAGTGGTGGTGGTGGTGATGAAATCATGATATGATGGTGGTGGCAGTGGCAGTATGAGAGCTAACCTTTCAGTGAGTCTGAAGTGACACAATTATGTGAATTAACACGTGTCATTCCTTGAGAGGAAGTTCTCCCACCTTCAGGTTCTAGAGCTGGCTCGTCCCAGAGCTGTCATGGATGGGAATCGTGAAGGATGTGTGTGCCAGGGCTGCGTGTGTGCCTGTGTGTGTGTACATGTGTGTGGCTGGGTGGGCAGATGGACGGATGGACAGCCTTGACTGCCGCTTGTCCCCCCAGGTCTATGACGTTCCTCCATCGGTGAGCAAGGACGTGCCTGATGGCCCGCTGCTCCGTGAGGAGACCTACGATGTGCCCCCCGCCTTCGCCAAGGCCAAGCCCTTTGACCCGGCCCGCACCCCACTGGTCCTGGCTGTGCCCCCTCCAGACTCCCCGCCGGCCGAGGACGTGTATGACGTGCCGCCCCCGGCTCCTGACCTCTACGACGTGCCCCCTGGCTTGCGGCGGCCTGGCCCAGGCACCCTGTATGATGTGCCCCGTGAACGGGTGCTTCCTCCTGAGGTGGCTGATGGTGGCACGGTTGACAACGGTGTGTATGCGGTGCCTCCCCCAGCTGAACGTGAAGCCCCGGCGGATGGCAAGCGCCTTTCGGCCTCCAGCACTGGCAGCACACGTAGCAGCCAGTCCGCATCCTCCTTGGAGGTGGCGGGGCCGGGCCGGGAACCCCTGGAGCTGGAAGTTGCCGTGGAGGCCCTGGCACGGCTGCAGCAGGGTGTGAGCACCACCGTTGCCCACCTTCTGGACCTGGCAGGCAGCGCCGGTGGGACTGGGAGCTGGCGTAACCCCTCTGAGCCGCAGGAGCCGCTGGTGCAGGACCTGCAGGCTGCTGTGGCTGCCGTCCAGAGTGCCGTCCACGAGCTGTTGGAGTTTGCCCGCAGTGCCGTGGGCAATGCTGCCCACACATCTGACCGCGCCCTGCATGCCAAGCTTAGCCGGCAACTACAGAAGATGGAGGACGTGCACCAGACGCTGGTGGCACACGGTCAGGCCCTCGACGCTGGCCGGGGAGGCCCTGGAGCCACCCCTGAGGACCTGGACCGGCTGGTGGCCTGCTCGCGGGCTGTGCCCGAGGACGCCAAGCAGCTGGCCTCCTTCCTGCACGGCAATGCCTCGCTGCTCTTCAGACGGACCAAGGCCCCCGTTCCGGGGCCCGAGGGGGGTGGCACCCTGCACCCCAACCCCACTGACAAGACCAGCAGCATCCAGTCACGGCCCCTGCCCTCACCCCCTAAGTTCACCTCCCAGGACTCACCGGATGGGCAGTACGAGAACAGCGAGGGGGGCTGGATGGAGGACTATGACTACGTCCACCTGCAGGTGGGTGCCGCCTGCCCAGCCCCGGCTCCTCTTCTGCCGCACGGGGCTCCCGTGCTTAGGGGGAGATTTGTTCCCAGCTGGGCCTGGTCCCTGGCAAGGCCCTGTACCCTCCTCTCACTCTGACCTTCCTCACCCCACATTGGCCCCATGTGCTAGCATGGCCATGTCATCGAGTCCTTCATTGAGTCCCTCGGGCTGGTGTGTCCAGTGACCAGCAGCAGTGACTGTTGTGTTGGGAGACAGATCTGCAGAAATGTGCATGCAGAGAAAGATCCTCCGAGGGTGGGGGAGCAGCAGGAGGTGGCAGGAGGTGGCTGGGACTGCTCCTCCCAGGCCAGGCCCTGGAGCAGAGGCCTGGGTGCCAGCCGGGTGGGAGTCCCGGTGAGGAACATTCCAGGCTGAGCTGGGCCAGAGAGGCATCCAGGGGCAGGGAACAGGTGGCCAGGCCTTTAGGCCAACAGGGAGAGATTGGGTTTGATTCCTGGTGTGGGAGCCTAGGCAGGCAGGGTGGAGCTTGTGGCCTTTCTGCAGGTGGCCCACCCTATGCCCAGTCTCTTCCTGGACTGGCAGGCGGTGAAAGGGGCAGCCAGGGCTGCTTCCTAGGAAGCCACCTTATCTGTCCCTGAATGTGCCAGCCTGTGTATGTGTATGTGGGGCTGTGTGCCCACATGGGCCAGCCTGAAGGGGTGTGTGTGTGTGTCCCCATGTGTCAGCCTGGGGGATGTGTGTCTGTATCTGCCCCTACATGTGCCAGCCTGGTGTGTCTGTGTGTGCGTGTGTGCATGCGTGCGCGCACAGCACCACCTGGTGGCCACTCAGCTCACTGCGCCGCCACAGGGCTGGCCTACTCTTCTGGCTCAGAAGAGAACTGGCCTCAGTGCAGCCCCTGTCTCTCCCCTCCAGGGGAAGGAGGAGTTTGAAAAGACCCAGAAGGAGCTGCTGGAAAAGGGCAGCATCACGCGGCAGGGCAAGAGCCAGCTGGAGCTGCAGCAGGTGAGGCCCTGGAGCAGAGCAAGGCCCTGCCTTGCCCACTGACCCCTTGAGCCCTCAGCTCTTGCCCCGCAGGGCCGACCCCGGGTCCCCAGCTTCTCCCCACGCATTGTCTGGTAGTTCTCAGAGCTGGGCCCAGCCTGCCACCCCCCTGCCTCCTGACCATCTTCATCTTTTCATTTGGTTTATTTTAAAGTTGTCAAGAGTAATTGTTGGAGACATTTAGGGAGTTAGAGAGTGGGGTGAGAGCAGAAAATAGACCCCTCACAGCTGCCATAGGCTCGGCTCGGGGCTGGCTCTGCCTTGCTCCTTCCTCCAAGCTGCTCCCTGCGTGTCCGGGATGGTGTCCTGTGGGCATTCGACTCTTCTGTCCCAGCATCTGCCATGGCATTAAGCATTCTTTGTGGATTCCTTCAAAGACCACCTAGCATCTATTGAATGTTTGTATTGTACCCACACTTCCTTAGTATTATTTTATTTTGTTTTTGAGACAGAGTCTTGTTCTGTCACACAGGCTAGAGTACAGTGGTGCAGTCTCGACTCACTGCAGCTTCAGCCTTCTGGGCTCAAGTGATTCTCCTGCCTCAGCCTCCCCAGTAGTTGGGATTACAGGCGCCTGCCACCATACCTGGCTGAATTTTGTATTTTTTGTAGAGACAAGGTTTCACCATGTTGCCCAGGCTGGTCTCAAACTCCTGGGCTCAAATGATCCACCTGCCTTGGCCTCTCAAAATGCTAGGATTACAGTGTGAGCCACCACATCTGGCCCCTTATTATAAATACACTGCTATGTTTATATGCTGACATATTAATAGACTTTTCTTCATATTTTGAATCATTTCCTGAGGGTAGGAAAGAGGTATGTAAAAAAATATTAAGGGAGCTTTATTCCGATTATGAAGATAATTTTAAAAGTGAAAATATAGGATAGTACAAAGTGAACATAAAAATATCACCCGTCAAAGCTCCCTCGCCCACCTTCTGGGTGTCAAGGAAGTGGCAGAGGCGGGGTCCTGAGACCCACGACGCACAGCGGCGAGGCTGCAGCTGTCTCATGAGAGCTCGGTGAGGATCAGTGTAGAGTGGAAGATGCCCGGGGAGGACCCGGCACATAGAGACATTCAGGAGAGGCTAGACATTGACATCTCAGAACCGTGGCCGGGTGGGAGGGGTGAGGGCTGAGAAATTACCTGTCGGCTACAGTGTACCCATATAACAAAACCGTACCTGTACCCCCTGTTAAATCTATTACAACACCCAAGAAAAAAATAAATGTCACACCTGTAATCTTAACACTTTGGGAGGCTGAGGCAGGAGGATCACTTGAGGCCAAGGGTTTGAGACCAGCCGGGCCACATAGTGAGACCCAAGACTATATATATTAATAAAAATTAATGGCTCACAACTGTAATTCCAGCACTTTGGGAGGCCAAGGCAGGCAGATCACTTGAGGTCAGGAGTTTGAGACCAGCCTGGCCAACATGGTGGAACCCCATCTCTACTAAAAATACAAAAATTAGCTGGGCGTGGTGGCATGCACCTGTAGTCCCAACTGCTTGTGAAGCTGAGGTGATAGAATCATTTGAACCCAGGAGGTGGAGCTTGCAGTGAGCCAAGATCGCGCCACTGCACTCCAGCCTGGGCGGTGGGTGAGACTTTGTCTCAAAATAAATAAATAATAATTGTTTTAAAAACCTGAATGCCGAGGTGGGCGTATCACCTGAGGTCAGGAGTTCGAGACCAGCCTGACCAACATGGGGAAACCCCATCTCTACTAAAAATACAAAAAAATTAACCAGGCATAGTGGCACATGCCTGTAATCCCAGCTACTTGGGAGGCTGAGGCAGAAGAATCGCTTGAACCCAGGAGGCAGAGGTTGCAGTGAGCCGAGATTACACCACTGCACTCTAGCCTGGGCAACAAGAGCGAAACTCCATCTCAAAAAAAAAAACCTCCTGAAATATCAACAATATATGTGTCTATATCTCCGTCTGTAGAGAGAGAACTCTGGGATCGCTGTGTTTTCAGAAGTGGTCATGTGCTGTATCCTTCCTCTGTGTGCCTCCAGCACTGCACCAGTTCCCTGCTGGCGGACACTTAGGCTGTTCCCAGAGTTTTACTTTTGTGAACAATGCTGTGACGAATACAAGTCTTTGCACTTATCTAATCAGTCACTTAGATAACTTGGTAGAAGCTGGATTAAAGGGCAAGAATATATGTGAAAAACTCTAAAGACGTAGAATTCCAAAGCCAAGGACATAAAGTCCATGTTAAATGCAAGCCCATGGAGACTTACTCATGAGAACATCTATTGCCCCATTTTTGTATCGGTGAAGAATCTGAAATCTCTACCCGCAAAGTGTCTAATAGGAGAGTATTGGTTCAATAAAGTATGGACATTTGTGCAGTAGGATATTATGTAACTATTAAGAGTTGTCAAAGAATAAAAAGGGCTGGGCACAGTGGCTCACACCTGTAATGCCAACACTTTGGGAGGCAGAGGCGGGAGGATCATCTGTGGTCAGAAGTTTGAGACCAGCCTGGCCAACATGGTGAAACCCCGTCTTTACCAAAAATACAAAAATTAGCTGGAGGTGGTGGCGCAGGCCTGTAATCCCAGCTGAGGCAGGAGAATGGCTTGAAACCAGGAGGCAGAGGTTGCAGTGAGCTGAGATCGTGCCACTTCACTTCAGCCTGGGTGACAGAGCAAGACTCCCTCTTTATAAAAATAAAAATAGTTTTGAAAAAAAAAGAACAACAAAGACCCACAGAGCTTGTTGCCTGTGCTCTGTAGGGCTCACTGCAGCCTCGACTTCCCAGACTCAGTGATTCACCTGCCTCAGCCTCCCAAAGTGCTGAGATCACAGGCATGAGCCACCTCACCCTGCCTCACCAGAGCTTTGCAAAGAAAAAAAGCCGAGTATGTATCTCACTGGCTAAGAGAACGGAGAGATGAAGGATTTCACCAAATAGCTGCCTAAGGGGGACAGTGCCAGGTTCTGAGTGTTAGGAGGGGGAGGTTTACTATTGGTTTTGCTCATTGTGGCTTGGAGCTTTGCGCCTAGGGTGGGACAGAGCTTACCTGTCCTGAGTCTGGGTATGGCTGGTAATTTCCGGGGCCAGAGCGGCGTAGTGAGGACACGTCATCCCCTTCAGCTGACTCCCAGGCACAGGAGTGGAAATGTTAACTTTCGTGTGTGGTTCTGGAAGGTGATGGTAGCAGAGGTTCTATTTAGGGGCGTTGGATTACAGGTGATGTCTTCCTTTTTTCTGTTAGATATATTTGAATCTTTTTATAATGTGTATGTTACTTTTGAACTAAGGAGAAAATTTTTTTAACTTTCTGTTTTGAAATATTTATAGATTCACAGGAAGTTGCAAAGATAGGGTCGAGGGATCCCCAGTGCCCTTCAGCCAGTTTCCCCAGTGCCACATCTCAAGTCACGTGGGACAGTACCCAAGCCAGGACGGTGACCGCCCCCACCCCCCCGCCCCCCGACCCCAGGCTGCCACTTTTCTGTTGTCCATCTTGTCATTTCAAAAATGTTCAGGGCACGGAGTCTGATCTTTTGAGACTGGTGGAAAGGTAACTGAACAACCTCCAGAAGGCTTGCCATGGTTCCTGGTCCCGTCCCCAGGAGAGGAGACTGCCAGTTTCCCCACAGTCCCGTGCACTCTGAGTAGCAGCCCTTTTAGAGAAGCCCAGCCCAGGGTGCCCAGGTCTTGGCCTGGTTCTGACTCGCCCGAGAGCCTAACCCTGCTCCTGCTTCCCTCCCGCCCCAGCTGAAGCAATTTGAACGACTGGAACAGGAGGTGTCGCGGCCCATAGACCACGACTTGGCCAACTGGACACCAGCCCAACCCTTGGCCCCGGGGCGGACAGGTGGCCTGGGGCCCTCAGACCGGCAGCTGCTGCTCTTCTACCTGGAGCAGTGTGAGGCCAACCTGACCACACTGACCAATGCCGTGGACGCCTTCTTCACCGCCGTGGCCACCAACCAGCCACCCAAGATCTTTGTGGCGCACAGCAAATTCGTCATCCTTAGCGCCCACAAGCTGGTGTTCATTGGGGACACACTGTCACGGCAGGCCAAGGCTGCTGACGTGCGCAGCCAGGTGACCCACTACAGCAACCTGCTGTGCAACCTCCTGCGTGGCATCGTGGCCACCACCAAGGCCGCCGCCTTGCAGTACCCATCACCTGCTGCTGCCCAGGACATGGTGGAGAGGGTCAAGGAGCTGGGCCACAGCACCCAGCAGTTCCGCCGCGTCCTAGGCCAGCTGGCAGCCGCCTGAGGGCCGTGACCCCAGGAGGGAGGCGGGGGAGGGGCATGGTGGGCCCAGCTCCCTGGCTCCCATCTCAAGAGTCGCTGTGCCACAGGCTTAGAGACAGGACCCCAGCTCTGCCTCAGGCCTTGGTACCCTTGATGCCCAGGAATCTGTATATATTTATGACTGGGCAGGGTGTGGGGCCGTGCCTCCCCAGGAGCCGAAGCCCAGGGGTCAGCCAGTGGCCTTCCCCAGCGTGCACCACGGGCCCGGGGCGGGTCACCAGGCAGGGTCTGGAGTGTGAGGGCCCCGCAGCCTCCAGGACCTCATGCTGCCCCGAGGTCTGAGCCTGGCCCCGCGAGGGTGCCGTGTCCCCTGACAGGGCCAGTGCAGTTTGGTGTGTCCTCCGCCTTACCAGGAGAAGACCCTGAAGAACTAGAACTATTTTTCATTATTGGTTTTCCAATCATTTGACTAATAGTCTCCATTTAAATAAAGTTTTTAAAATGAAGAGCAGCTGCCTGAGGGTGCCAGATGAGAGCCTCCGGGGCAGGTGACGGTTCCAGGGAAGGCACCCAGGGGCAAGTGCCATGCATGGCATCTCCCAGGAGGGCAGAGGAGTGGGTCTCTCCAGAAAAAAACTAAGGGACACTGAGGCTGGGTGTCTCCTGCAGGTGGGGTGAGGCCCTGGGAGCCAGGGCAGAGCCTGGGCCCAGGAGAGGAGTTGGGGTCAGTTTCGGAGCTACAAGGTCTGAGGCCCAGAAGGCACAGCCTGGGCGTGGCCCCCTCGAGCCCTAGGGAGCTGCCACAGCAGCGAGCACCTGCCCATGCCCACAACTGGCATCTGAAGCGAGGGCAGATCGGGGCAGGAGCAGCTGCAGGAGGGGACGGGTTCCTGTGAGCCGAGGGCACCGTCAGGGGCTGCATCTGGAACTCTGCTTAAAAGAATCTCATCCCAGCCTGTGGAACTCCCGAAGCACACGCGGAATTACACGTGGATCTGGCCTCCAAGTTGGGAGGGAGGGGCCTGGAGAAGACCTTTGCCCTGGGCAAGTGTGTGCCCCCCGTGGCTCCCCCACCCAGCAGCCCGCAGCCTAGATGGAAGCTCCAGGGTGCCTGGAACCCCTGGTGCTCCTCCCAGCCCTGACCATTCTGCATGTCAACATGCGCCTTGGGTTCCCCATCTGTATGAAGAAGGGGGTAGTACTGGGTGATGCTCAAGCCCTCCTGATCTTACCTCTACAGAGGGGTCCCCGTGACAGCATCTGTCCCCTCAACTCAGCCACATCATGCTCAGCCCACCCTCCTTGGTGAGGACACAGAAGTAAAGGTGTATGCAGTCGCTCTCAGTGGCTTTGTGTTTTACACAGACGTGGGGTAGGGAGGGTCTCAGCCTCCACAGCTTCCCAGGCATGAGCTTCATGATGTGGGCATCCACGTCTAGTGAGAACAAGAGGTGCTGGTGCTGCTCCAGGACACGATGCCCTCCAGGGTCCAGGGTCCATCCTGGCAGGCAAGGGCTGCCGGAGTTGCCCTGCAGGAAGGAGAAGATGTGTCGCCAGGCCTGAACTGGGTGCCGGGGCCTGGGAGACCTTGACCTGGCGGAGTCCAGGGAGGGATGCAGAGAAATGGCAAGTGTGGGTGCAGGGGCTGTGCCAGGGTCCTGAGGCCTGGGTTCACGTGGCAGCCCCAGCTCTGCCATGCACACTCCTGGAGGGAGCTGGGGCAAGTGGCTTTCATTCCTGCCGGGGCGCCATTTGTCCCGTGAGCTGACCTTCCAGCTCAGAGGGCTGGGGAGAGGAGGGAGTCCCCAGGCAGCCTCACCTGCCTGGTCCAGGAAGCTGTGAGCCTGAGGCCTGGCCCTTGTGAGGCCTGGGAAGGAGGCAGAGAGGAGTGGGGAGTCCTGGAGTACATTTAGAAAGGAACAGGAATGGGACTGGACAGGTGAGTCTATGGAGACGCCAGGCAGGTGGAGTCTATGGAGACTGAAGGAGAACAGCCCGTGGCACGTGATTTTTAATGATTGTCTTTCCACGTTTTTCTACAATGAACAAAACTTTATCATTGAAGACACCTGTCAGGATGCTTTCAGACGCTTTAACACTTGGGAAGGAAAAGACAGCTGGGAGAAGTAGGTGCCCATGGGCCCTGGCAGCCAAGGGTGCAGGGTGAGGCCCAGGCCAGCTGGGTAGGGGTCCCTGTATCCTCTCACCTCCTCTCCCAGAGGCTGATTTGTCCCATGGTGGCGTCACGAGCCACCTCTGCCTGCCTGTGTGGCCTTGCATTAGCCATCCTTAGCACCTGGAAGGCCTCCGGGTGAGAGCCAAGGTCAGACGCCCCGGCCACCATACGGTGGCTCTTCTGGAGAGTGAGGGTGGCAGACGGCGCTTGGGCTCGTGGGGGTGAGCCCCGCTTGGCCACTGAGTCTCATGGTGATCTCGGCATCCCTTTCTCACTTAGGGCCTCAGTTTCCCCACCTGCAGAGTGAGGGCGCAGGACCTCCCAGGTTTCCCCAAGCTGTGATCCGGGTGGCCTGAGGATGTGCAAAGGTGGAGGTGGGGTGCACGGCCCGGGGTGGGCGTCTCCTGCAGGGTCTGCCTGTGGCCGGGGAATGGGGCTGCTGTTTCCCCAGCCTGCAGTTCATTTCCGACCCTTTTCCTGCTGGTTGCAGGGTGTAGTTGGGGTTGGGAAGAGGGGGTGAGTGTCATTCCCTGACACCTGGTGGGCCCCGACTCCTCAAGCTCAAGCCTCACCTGACCCCTAGTGGGCAGCAGTGACCACCCAGCCCCCGCAGAAGTGGAAGCCAGGTTTGCACTGGGAGGATAGGACTGGCAACTCCCACAAGGGCAGGAGGGACCTGAGGGGCGAGGGCTGTGTAATCCTAGCACTTTGAGAGGCTGAGGCAGGAGGATCACTTGAGGCCAAGAGTTCAAGACCAGTCAGGCCATATAGTGAGATCCAAGTCTCTATGTATAAATAAAAATTGTTTTAAACTTCCCCCACCTCTAGTTTGGCCACCACCCAGGGTCCCCCCCACTGCATGGGCAGGACGCCACTCTGATCTGCAGGGACACCTGCCAGGCCCAGGAGCTGGGGATGGCATCCTCCCCATGGACATCCTGGATAGGATGCTGAGTCAGGGTGGATGGTGGGAACCCTGCAGCCTGGGGTTGGGGCAGGGCAGCCGGCAGTTGATGGTGTCCTTAGGTGCCACTGCAGTGCCCACAGCCCCCTCCCCTGATCGCTGTCCACCCAAGGGAGTGTCCGTCCCTCTCCAAGCCCAGGGTGCTGTGACGTGGTGGCTGGATCTCCCTGGGGCCCTGTGCTCTCGTGGGCTCTGAGTCAGTGACTGGGGTGGATTGGGGTGCAGGGCCTGGGGACACACAAACCCAGGAGGCCGCTCAGGTGCAGAGGGTACAGGGGCTGGGGGTGGGGGGTGGGCAAGAGGTGTGGATGCAGGAAACCGTCGGGAGGCAGAATCTGCAGGGTGTGGGGGCCAAGGAAGGGAGGAAACATGCCCCAAGCATGGCTGAGGGAGCAGGGGTAGTGGCCAGAGGGGTGGGATCCAGCTGGCAGAGTGTGAGGAGGAAGGGAAGGAGGATCTGGCCATGGAGGATGTGGTGCCCCTGTGTAACATGGCACAGTGCGGTTTTTTGCTTCTGGGCATTTGGGGCTGGGGATGGGCGTGTTTGACCTGGGGCTCCCAGCCTGCCTGAGCCTCGAACTTTCAAGAATCACTGCAGACAGAGGGAAGCCCAGCGATCCAGAGAAAGGCCATGGGGTGTCAGAGGGTCCCCATCCTGTCCCCTGAGCCCACCAATCACAGCCCACCTCGCCACCACCCCCCTCATCAGCAGTCCTTGCGTTGATAACGCTCCTGGCTCCAGCATGTCTGGCAGCGCTAGGAGTGGCCGTGGGAAGATTCCTTGGAACCGCAGGTGTGTGCGGCCAGAGTGAGTTCATCCCCCTTACTGCCCACGCCCTGTTGCAGGGCCCTGAGCAAGGGAGCAAGGGTGGGTGGCAAGAACCCTGCCGCCCGGGGGCAGGTGCTGAGGATGGGGGCCAAGGTCCTCCCGGTCCCCACCAGCCACATCCCCCATCCGTCTCTGCGCCCCTTTTTATCTGCCTGTGTGTTTCTGGCCACTCTTCGGGAAGCAGGAGCCTGAGTGGTGGGAAAGGCGACTAGGGAAGGGTCCTCCCAGAGGCCGCCCGTGCCTGGCCCAGCCCAGCCCAGTGGGGGCCCAAGTTCTGGAGTGGAGTGAGGCTTTGGAGGCCCCAAACAGGAGACGGACAGCACCGACGTGTGCTCCACGGGTTTACTGAAGTTCTGTGGGGAGCAAGGTCGGAGGGAGCCACGGCCTCAGTTGGCAGCCAGGATCTCCTGCACCCGGGGTATGAGCTTGGTAACATGGGTGTACACGCCAGGGCTGGAGGTGGAGCAGGTGCCACTGCCCCAGGACACAATGCCCATGAGGGTCCAGGCTCTGTCCTTCTGACAGACCAGGGGGCCGCCGGAGTCACCCTTTGGGAGAGGGAGAAGGGAACTTGGATCTGGCAGCCCAGACAGACTGGTCCCAGGGGCCACTGGACATAGTTCCCAGAGTCCAGGCCAGGACCCCACACACAGCAGCGACTCAGCATGTGCTGTTGCATGGGTCATGAAAGATCCAGCAGCTGCTTGTGTGGCTCATGCCCCTGGAAGCCTGAGCCACCCCGGAATGGGGCCCTTTATTGGAAGCTTAGTAAAGCTGGTTTGACCAACAGGAGGAAGAGCCTGGTGGGGCTTGCCGAGGGGTCCTTGTGAGGGAGGGAGGGCTGCTGGAGCCCGCTGGCCTGCTGGGATCCACTGCCCAGGTTGTGCACTGCACAACTCCAAGGGCCATTGGCTCTGACATTGGTCATGGAATTTTGCAGCAAGGTGACTCTGACATCAGGAAGGAGTAGAGTTAGTAGATGAGGGCAGAGAGGGGTGGGGAACCCGGGCCTCCCCTGCACCCCGCTCGCCTGGCCAGGGCCTGGGTGGGGCCAGCCTCACCTTGCAGGAGGAGACACCGCTGGCCCCAGCGCAGATCATCTCGGTGATCTTGCTGCCCCAGAACTTCCTGCATTGGGCATTGGACAGGAGGGGCAGGGCCGCCTGCTGCAGCTTGTCAGGGATCTTGTTGGCTGCAGGACAGGAGGAAGGTCAGGGCTCACCCAGCCCACTTAGGAGGGAGAGACCCGAGGCCGACACGCCTGCCCTCCCCTGCACCATCAACACGATGTTGGGTACGGCCCCTGGAGCCTCGGAAGCGCCTGTGGGACAAAGCGGGCCTCGGCCCTGCCCCGGTGGGAGCCCCACACTCTGACTCCAGGCAGGTCAGCCAGGGCAGGGCTCACCCGGCCAGGTGCGCTCAGAAGCCCCCTGTGGAGGCTCCTCATGGTCCGACCTGGATTTTATTTGCACTGGGGGGATTTTAAATTCAGAGGATTATCAATAAAGAACGGAAAGTTAGGAGCGTGTTGGAATTTAGAGCCAAACAGTCACGGGGGCGACTCCACAGCCAGGCAGCCCCGACCCCAGAGGCAGCCCCGCGGCCCCTCACCGTTGTACTTGGTCTTGCCCCAGCCTGTGGTGACGCACACTGTCCCCGTGGGGAAGTCATCGTCGGCGCTGGGCAGGCACACGGCGGACACCATCTGGGAGAAGACGGCGGGTGTGGCCAGCTTCAGCAGGGTGATGTCACTGCGCACGGTGAAAATGCTGAAGCTGGGGTTCTTGAAGACCTGGGGGTGGGGGCCAGAGCGCCGGGGTGAGGCCCTGGGAGGAGGCAGGACCTGCAGGCTTCGAGGACACAGACTCCTTCCCTGGTGTCCATTAAGGAGCAGTCCATCCCCAGGGCCGGAATGGGAACCACGAGGCCGGGCCGGCCCCCCTGGGCACCTGTCCCTGAAGCAGCCGAGGGGTCTCCCCCCGTGCCCGCTGCCCCTGCCCTCTGCTGCACGGGGCCTGGGTACCTTGGCGATCTTCAGGACCTGGATGTTCTCCTCATCAGAGCCCTGGTCAAACTCCCCAGCCACGACCACGTCAGAGGTCCTGGGCAGAGCGTTGTGGGTGAGAGAACATGCCCTGCTCCCCTCCCACCCAGCTGGGCTGGAAGCAGAGCCCGAGGCTGCCCGGTCCTCACCTGACCCCGCAGTGGGCGGCGGTGACCACCCAGTCCTCGCTGATGAGGGAACCTCCGCAGAAGTGGAAGCCGGTTTTGTCCTGGCAGGAAGATGGGGAGGGTCAGCAACTCCCACCTGGCGGCACCCCCAGCCTGGCCCCCACCCAGGGTGCCCACTGCCTTGCAGAAGCCCCCTCACCTGCAGGGACACCTGCCAGGGCCAGGAGCCAGGGACGGCGTCCTCCCCATTGACGATCCTGGACAGGCCACTGAGCACGGGGGGGATGGCGGGGACCCCACAGCCTGGGGGCAGGAGTGGGCTGAGGGGTGGGTACCACTCACCCAGGTCTCAGTGCTCCAGCCTCCTCTCACTCCCAACTCTTTTCCAGTCTCTGGGACCTAGGCTGGCTCCCACATCCCCTCCTCTGAGAAGTTGGCCCTGGCTCTCCTCTCCCCAGTGCTGGAATCTCCAGGTACAATTGAGTCCACGGCACTGGACTGTGGGCTGCTGAGGAATGGGGTGTTGACCCCTCCTCAGTTCAGAGAAGCCACACAGGTGGAGCGTGCAGTCCCGACACTCAGGCTGGGAGGCCAGACTCTGTGGATTTGACCCTGGCTCCCTCCCTGCCCAGCTAAGCCGCTCAGTGTCCCCATCAGCAAAGTGGGGATCACACCGTTTCTGACCTCTCAGGTTTGGAAGAGTGAGCAGGCAGAGCGCCAGCTCTGCTCCTGGCACCCGGGAAGTGCTCCGTAAGCAGGAGTTTAAAAGGATGAGGCTCGCCTGAAAGGTTTGGACTGAACGGTGCCAAGCCCCAGCTGCCCACATGCTCACCACCCAAGCCTGTACTGGGGCCACTGACTGTTGGGGGGTTTCCTGAAGGCCTCAGGGCGGCCCCCCAGACACCTACGTCCTCCCCTGGGAGTCTCAGGTCGGCTGGGGGTGAGGAAGGGGAGCGGGGCTCCCCAGCTCCTGAGCTCCGAGGTGGCAGCTGAGCCTGGGAGGGAAGCTGTGACCTGGTCCAGGTCTTGCAGTGCCCACGGCAGAGATGGAGACGGTGACTCGCCCAGGCCCACACTGTGGTGCACAACTAAACTGGGAACTGGGACCCTGCTGCCCCTTGCTGGCCTTGGGGCTGGGAGTGAGGGGAGACAACCCTTCAGCCTCCGCGGGGCCCGGCCCTCACCGAAGGCGGTGCCCAGGAGGGC